AATACAGCGCAGCCACAGAAAGTGTAAACTTCGCTTGTACTAGTGTTACCTATCGGAGCGAATGGCAAGGAAAGGTTTACAGGGTTATTCTATAAAAACGGGTGTAACTTCCCAACCAACAAGGCACTTCACTTCCAGCAAAGGAATTACAAAGTCAAAGCTGGACTGGAAGTCCAGAAGTGTAAAGTCCAACCATGTCGCCATCCTGGAAGACCCAACAGTTATTTTTAACAGTGGCTAAAAAAAAACCTCACATTGCTCACATGAACGCAAAAAAGATCTCAAAAGATCTCAAAAGATCTCAAAAGATCTCAAAAGATCTCAAAAGATCTCAAAAGATCTCAAAAGATCTCAAAAGATCTCAAAAGATCTCAAAAGATCTCAAAAGATCTCAAAAGATCTCAAAAGATCTCAAAAGATCTCAAAAGATCTCAAAAGATCTCAAAAGATCTCAAAAGATCTCAAAAGATCTCAAAAGATCTCAAAAGATCCGCAACCGTCAGGCCCATCAACTGCCAGATCTTGATGAACAAACCTTTGCTGCTGCGTTGGCAGTTACCATGAAGTTCAGAGTCATCACAACTCACCTGTCATCCAAGTGATTAACGCACTCAATAAGAATCCAAAAACTTTGGGTTTTCCTCTCTAAATGCCAACAAAAACCTCAGAGCAGGACCAGAGCCTCAGTCACTGCCTCCCCTCCACTGCTGGGGGGGACTAACCCCAAAATCTTGAGAGTACAGATACACCAAGGAACTCTTCTGACTGTATTTGGTCTTTACAGCGCCAAGAGGTCATATTTCTAATAATTCGCATAATCTGTAGCGAAAAACTAAAACCAAAAGCATCTGCCTTTTCTCCTGTGCCAGCTCCACACAGCCCAAATATGAAATCTGGATTTGCACAGCAGGAGGCAAAGGAGCAGGAGGAGGTGCAGCAGGGTATTTACAAAAGCTGAACAGCTTCACCTGTAAGAACGGACATCCCTTCACACAAGCCTGAAAATATATTCCCACTACAACCACAAACATGAAATTAATATAAAACTCTTTTTTTTTCATATTTTTTCTTCGCTTCAAACCAGGCTGAGACCTGTTCAACCAGCAGAGAAGCTGTCCATGAAACACTCTGATCTGCTCTTTAAAAAAGAAAAGCATTTAAAACCCAAATATTAACGTCTCTGAAAGTTTGGTCATTTGTTCCTTGGCCAACACCCAAAGAGTAATTCTCAGGTCAGCAGAAGTTTTTCAGGGACGGGACAAGCCCTGAAACAGGGGCCGTTTCCAGCCATCGGACCCCACCAGCTTCCGCGCGCCGCTCAGAGCGCTCTCCAGTCAATGGGCTTCTTGCCGGATTTCTTGAGCAACTCATTGGTCTTTGAGAAATGCCGACAGCCGAAAAACCCTCTGCTGACGGACAGCGGGGAGGGATGAACCGTCTGCAGGACGTGGTGGCGTTTCTGCAAGGCGTCAGAGGAAACCGCTCGTTAGATTTGCATTTTTTCAGCTCCCTGGGCAAGGCTGGCTGCTTCTGCCCCCACCAAGCAGGTGTGGTTTCCTCCCCAACCACCAGCCTGAGGACCCAAAGAATTGGCCAAGAGGACCAAGGCTTTTATCCCACTGAGCAGAGCATGGACTACGTAAAGCAGCAGCAATGCCCTGGCCATTTTTCAACTGTTGTCATCCTAAACACAGAATTTACACTAATTTATGAGCATTTTCCTAGGAAAACAAAACAAAACAGTTCTGCCCTCAACTGGAGGCTTTCTGACAACAGAAGGTTACACTTGCTCCACTTTTGTTGCCTAATTCTGACAAAGGCTAAGCTGGAACAGAAGGCAGCCAACTCAACTTGGCAGCAGAGTTCAAGCAGAGAGAAAACCCCAATTCTGTAAGTGAGGTGCCCTCTAGTGTCCACCCAACTGACGAAAAAAATTAGTGAGAGGGAAGAGACGAAGAGGAGTGACCCGTACCCTGTCAATGGAGCTGCCCTTCTTCTGGGCGTAGGCTCCCCACAGCATGAAGACAACCCCGTGCAAGTTCTTGTTGATCCAGGACACCACCACGTCCGTGAACTGCTCCCAGCCTCGCTCCTTGTGCGAGGTGGCCTGGTGAGCTCGCACCGTGAGGACGGCGTTGAGCAGGAGCACTCCTGGCAAACAAAGCAGACACACCAAGGGTGAAAAAAAAAACCCAAAATAATAATAATAATAAAATAAATAAATCGTTAACTGCTTTACCCTGCTTCCCTCGAGAAATGATGAATTAAATTTTCACTCCAAGGGACCTGCTAAGTGACAGGCACTCAGAATTGGTTTCCTCTTTTACAGGTGGACTGTTTCGAACCATGGGTCTGTCTTCTGGATAGGCTTTTTCATCACCTACAGCTGACACGTTACAGGAGTGTCTGTTAACTCACCTTGCTTGGCCCAGCCGGTCAGGTCACCATGACCAGGATGCGTGAAGTCCTCAATATCTGTAGAGAGTTCTTTGTAAATATTTTCTAGACTGCCAACAAAAAAACATCAGAAGTATTTGAATATGCACATTTAAAGATAAGAGCAAACAGCATCACTCTGACACTAGGCAAGCAGAATATCCATCTTAATGTCATCATTTAAGACAATAAATCCATTTGTAGAAGCAGGGCAGCGAGGATTGCCTTTTGTGTGCCTGGCTGGAAGATTGAGGAGAAGGTTTCAGCACCACAACTGAAAATGCAAATTTACACCCAGCATGCTCTTCAGAATACCACCAAACTGCCGAGAATTATCGGTATTTTTTTTATGGGGATGGTTTTTCTAGGCAATGCACAACTGAAATTTCAGTAGTGGCAACACACTTCCTATCAGTTAACTGACCCACAGCTGTGAGTAACACAGAACTATAAATAATTTGTAAAAAAGGGGGGCTTTTGCAAAGGGAGTGCTGTCATACCTGGGGGGAGGCGGAACAGGCTTCTGGACACTGAAACAGAGCCCGTGAGCTTGATTAGGTCCATGATACGGATCTTGTCCCAAAATGACAACCTTTACCTGAAAGCAGACCTTTGTTAGCACTGAATCATAATCAGTATTATCCCCAAAAGAAGGAAAAAAAAAAAGGCTTATCAATAAACCTAAAACAAATCACAGACAAAAAAACCACCAAAATACACCCCAGGAGCTGAAGTTAAATCACTGACATCTCATTATAAACAGGCTAAAGAACACAGTCCCCTCCTGACACTAAGGATTAACACCACCACAGCTTTGCTGCTAAAATTATGAAGGTGTTTTGAGTGCAAAAGAGCAATGTTTTCCCAGCACCACAATAAAACACCGAGTTTTATTTCTGAGTACATTTCCTCATGTTTTAGTTTTATGCTACACTCATTGTGATGCTTTTGACACAGCTTAGTAGCACTGGGATTACCTTAAACACCTTTTTTTAAAAATTATCATTTGTTACAGATCAGCTAACAAAACAAGAGACGTATGAGACCCCAGAATCAAGCAGTATGTTAAGCTGGTAACACTGGAGATAAAGTCAAAAGTCCAACTAAAGTTTTAAAGGAAATTCTGTGGCTGGTGAGAGTAATAAAACAATAAAACTGTGTTTCAGCGCCAGAGATGAAAGAGAAGGCAGGATTTACAAATTAGGTGAGAGACACAACAGCATCCACATCACATGGGATCGACAACTGACAGACCAAACATCGAACGAGCGTGTTTGTGCGTCCAGCCCCACGTTTTAACCGTTTTCAACGCAC